GGCCATCACGGCCATGTAGGGGCCATCAAGGCCACATCTTCACACCCACAACTTCCTCCCATAACTTCAGCTCAAGGCTCGTCGCTCGACAACAGGGTATACCACGCACTGCAAGGGATGAAAGCCCTCTTGAGACAAGCAGCTCTCTTCAACAAGGTTGGGAACAGTTCTGCAAGAGCAATGACGCGTTCCCTCTGCGACGTGGTCATCTGAGCTAAAAACTGAACTGATCCAATTTCCTGAATGTAGATTTCCATCACTTTTGCATTCACCCACCGGCCTCTTTTCTAACAAATTCTGAGTCCTCCGTGCACTGAAGCTGCCATGTCGCTCCGCCAGGTCTAAGAGACCCGGCGTCAAGGGTTTTGGACCCTTGGAAGACTCCGGTTTGCAGCGACAGTGCACGCAGTATGTCTTTGAATCGCAGCCTGAAGGTAGCGGAGGAAAAAGACCACAACTTCTGGTGTGGCTTGAAATCTGCAAAAGCCATTTCCACAACAGCAAGAAGATCACCAATGTCAAGTTTTGCACTCTGATGCCTAGCAGCAACGAAACGAGTTTTTGGCTCCAGCAGCGACAACAAAGCAAATTTGTTTGTCCCCAACGTATCAGAAGGTAGGAGCAGGTCCTTCCGCAGCGAGTTTGTCATCTCGCTCGTTCTCAAGAGAGCCCCCCATCCAAGCGCCAGCAGTCCTGCCATTTCCAACCATCCCCACCCAAGGGCGACCGACAACATCGCTAAGAGCACCTGCCAAGGCATGGCGATATGGTGAATTGGCCTCTCTTCTCGTACCCAAGCAAAAGCTAGGTCCCAAGCGGGCTGAAGCTGCCTCTTTAGCACAGGTTTGAACGATGCAATGCTGTTCACTGACTCAACATAAATGTTGTATGTCTTCCCTGCGTCATACAGTCTTCGCCCATACATTTGTAGGATTGCATTGATCCTTTCAATGTGCAACAAGGGGTTCTCAAGCAGTGTACGGAGATTCAGGCCACACATGTCGCTCCATCTCAGCAAGTCCGCAAGCAATCTCTCACGGTTGCCAGCCGTCAGCTGGGTGACAGGCCGTCCTTGAGGTAGAGGGGGTCTGTTTCGTCTCGTCGCCTGCCTACTCCAGTCTCCAGGAGTGCGCGGTGCAATCATGGCTTCGCTCCTACCTACTAAGGTGACT